CTGTCAAAATACAGCCCTTCAACTGTTTTACCCCCCCTTCCCCCCCCCCCCCCCCCCCCATTACACAAGCGCTTTCAGCTTTCCTCCAACCTCCTGGGATAGTCCCTCAAAGGGACTTCGTGCCCCAGGGTCACTAATGATGGGAGCATGGCAGTTCTCAAACCACCAGGCTCCGACCTATACCCTTTCCCGAGCACACACAGTCGCCGTCACCAAAGTTGCTTCAAGGACGCCATAGAGACTTGAAATAAGCAGGATGACCTAGACACATCAAAGCCACCCCTTGGGAGCTCGCCAGCCGGACCGAGCGTCTCAGGACTTTGGGAGATTTCCTCGGTCAGAACATGAACAGTGCCCTTGAGTTCCTTTGTCTGGCAGGTACGAAGCGACGGCGCAGTGCAGATGGGATTCCAAGTCTCTCCGAGTAATCACTCGGGTAAAGCTACTTTCAGGAAGTCTTTTACGGTTGGCGACAGAGGAATTGAGCGGTAGACGACGCCCCTTAGCTTCGGCAAGCCATACCGATATTCATGCATCGTTCTTCACGGGGTACGTAAAGAAAATAAAGCGGACGGCACGAAAAAGTTGAAAACGTCCGGTATGAGGCCTCTTTAGGCTGGCTATCCTTCAAGCCAATGCCTTTTCCATGGGACAAGGAAATTAGGAAAATGACGAGCCATGTAGCGTATGCGGGTCTGCGCGCGAAAAATATTAGGGTGGGAGGGGGAGGGGGGTGTAAAGGCTGGCATATTTTTGGGGTGGCAGGACAAATTTTAGGGGAGGCGCCCGCCACCCCTCGCCTCCCTTTGGCACCGTCCCTGCTTTGAGGTTGTTATAGAAGTTGTCCTTGAGGTCGTTCTAGACGTCGTCCTTTAGGTGTCGTCCTCGAGGTCGTCCTTGAGGTCTAGTATACCAAGATTTTGCTATTGGCGAGGAGATCAAACTATAGGGGGCGCTGCGTTCACCAAAACAAATACCGCCTGCGCGGAAAACAACTCCTGTACTCCAGTGTGCCGCCGTTGGCTGCCGTGTTGTTGCCGCGTTCCCTGCAGGTTTGTTAGAGTACGCTCTTGTTACGTACCGCAGTGCTCAGCGCATGCTTTAGAGCCTGGAATCAGTTTTCATCGCTTTCCTGCCGAAAAAAAACTCAAATCGCAGTGGATAAGTAAGAGTAGGGAAGAAGTTGACTGCGCACGACGTGGTGTGTGGTGGTCACTTTTCAAGCGATGCCTTCCAAGCAAACTACGCTAATGGACACGCGTAAATCATAGACGCGCGTCAATCATGCTTGCATCGACATCCGTTCAAACCGTACATTGTATTTTATAGGCAGTAGATATTCTGCCGGCAACCGACCCAACAAACCGAGCAAGAAAAAAAAAATGCCGGTAGTTGTTCTTATTGGGTTTCGTGTAAAAGGAATAGTTAAAACGGGAAATTCTAGTTGTGTGAGTAGCTCAGTGGAAAGGTGTCCGTTTCACGTGCCGTGGGTCCCAGGTTAAAATCAAAGTATGCGTGTTTTTTTTTTTTGTTTTTTTTTATTTCTTTTGCGTGAAACACTTGATTTATAGTTATTTCTTTTTTTAGAATAATCATTGCCGTCCGGAACTCCCGGCAATCTTACCTTTTTCCCGAGTGGTTGTGCCGGCTGCCGGCAAAATATCCCCACCCTATTTCATAACAGTGCACAAGAGGAGGTTCTTGATACGCAACCCGTCAGAGAATCTTCCGAAGGAATCACACGACCGGGTTCTGAGGCTTCGGAAGCCGCCGAGAGGTACTGCTGTCAATTGATCACTATTTTATTCCAGGCTAGCTTTTACACTGGAACATCCGTTCCAGTGTATCAGTTCGATATTGTGATTATTACGCAAATGCGTGACTCATTTTGCGATTCCTATAATTTCGATTGAGCAATGCAAATGTGTGTTTGACTAAGTCATCGTCGTGCAGAACTCGTTGATATTTCATCGTAAACCGTGCACTTTTGACTAACCGATAAATTAAACTGAAAAAGACAACTTGTAACGTTTAATGCCAATATGCAGTCTAATTAGCCACACTCTACATTATAATGTTCACCAGTGTGTTCTATATTTTGGCATTTCATGAAAAAAGTAATGTGATGACTATTTGGTTGATGTTTTGGCGAAAATTTTCTCCGGGGCGACGCTGCGCTCGATTACGTACATGATCACATTTCAGCACGTTCTCGCCTTCAACGAGGCACCTGTTGCTCTCGTCGATGTGGCTGATAATTGTTGCAAGGGACAGGGACACTGAAAAGCAATGCGTGTGTTTCGTGAATACGGTTTCTCCAACCTAGGAAGTGCACAAATATCGCCACACCGCGTCAGTCACGCACGACCTGGCGCGCGCAGCCGGAGCGACGCGGCCGATCGAGAGCGCCTACACGTGGGTTGGTTTTTGCTTCCAACGAGAATGCGGCGACATTTAAAGCAAGGTGAGACATGCAGGGACTATGCTACCCTATACGCAGATGCTTTTGGAGCAGATAAATATTATCCACATATCTTTCATGAGCCTCAAGTCCTTGTCCTCCATGGCTGAACGAATACTAGCAACGGGATTGTTATTCCCGCCGAATAGTTCCGACGGCGGCCGCTAGCCAGCGCCAATGTTCGATCTCCTCCCCAATACACTGGCGAAACAAGCGTACATCTTCGTACCACCACCATATGCGGTGCGGTGCTTGGAGGCGTTGAAATTTTTTTTTTCTGTTTTGAAATACGAAAGAAAACAATATAATTCTAAAAGATCCGTGGAGAAGCGCATGCTTGACCAGTTGATTGCGTACACAGTACCAAAGACGCTTATATTGGCCAGAAACGCCTCTACTACAATGATGCGCCACGGTCTTCTTAGTGTGACTGGAATAAAGCGACCCTCTCGGAGCTTCGAAGATTTGAAGGGACCGAAATGAAGATTGCCATGGCTACGGAGACCAATAAGCTAATCGCCTTGCGAGGTCTTGGTCGTTTGTGTTCGGCTAACAGGCAGGGCCCAGGATCCAGTCATTATAGGCTTGGATAAAGGGCGCGACACCCTCACAATTCCCTTAATGCCCTGGAGTGCTCACTTGTGGCGCTGGCATCTCCAGAAAGGTCATTGAGTACCCATGAATACAGGGATGGGCAGTATTTCAAATACAAGTATTTGAAATACGTATTTCAGATACTTTGTGTGTTTTGCATTTGTATTTAATTACAAATTGGATAATGTATTTGACGTGTGTATTTAGATACTAAAACGTGGGTATTTCAAATACAATTGTAATTAAATACAATTTTGTGGGGGAAAATACATCTTGTTTTTATGCATGTGGTTGTAAGATATAGTCTCCATCTTTTATTCGACCATGGGGCTTTTTTCTTTTTCTCCTCCGGTTTTATTTTAAAGGCACCGTCCAGAGCAGGAAGGAAACTACGTTCTGCACCGAATGCAGTGTCTCTCAATCAAGCACAAGCGTTTAGTGACTTTGTGATTACAGTGCTAGTCCAGGGCAAGAATAGTGACGAAATCGACGTTCACAGGCAGACTGGCTAAATAATTGCCTGTGACAACTTGTGATGCTATCCAGCCTGATTTCCATCCATATTTTTGCCTGGAACATTCTAAATGTGCGGGTCGTCCAGATTTTCGTAACTAGTGGTGCGGGTTGCAACAATAAAAAATTCCCTAGCTAGTGCTGCGCGTCTTGGTCGTCTCGGTTCTTTGTTGGTCTATACCAAAATGTAATCGACAAAAAAAGCTGCTTGAAGCTCTGTACTTTTTCACCTATTGCGTCCAAGCTGATTACATTTTTTTTTTTTTGTGATTATATTTCTATTACGTTACTAGAGCCTCGCACACTAACTCCCGAGTGTGCGATGCAAAATTAAAATGAGATACCCAGAAACCCGTTGCAAGTGCCCTGAGGTCGCTGACGAAAATTTTGAGGAAAGTGTTTGGAAAAGTATTGGGAGGAGACCAAATACAATTGGTTGTATTTGTATCTTGTACTTAAATGCTTTTTTTGAAAATGTAATTAGATTTGTAATTAACTACATTTTTTACGAAGTATTTTGTATTTGTATTTCAATACATATTTGCATGTATTTTGCCCATCCCTGCATGAATATAAGATACGATTTATGTTATTTTTAGCCTTTTGCGATTTCAGAAGGCAAAGGAAACAGGACGATAAAAATCAGAGTATATACACCTGTTCCACATATCGGTGGCCGAGTGGGCTGGCGCACACCAGCTCGGAGCACGTGGAGCGAAAGCTCGCGCTGCAGAACCCAGGGATCCTGGGTTCAATCCTCACCCCTGCCCGTTTTGATCTGGATGAGCATCGTATCGGCGTGCGGTCGTGTACCACTACTGCGTTGTGCACGTTAAAGACCCCAGGCTAGCGGTACAGTGTACTGCACTGGCTAAATTTCTCATCTACAGCGATCGAGTGACTCGTCGCAACTTAGAAATGGCTGACCAACGACACGCTGTCTAAATATCCACGTGACTCAACCTCAATTAATTCCAAAAGGGCGCAGCCATCTTGAATGTCGTCACTTCTGGTGGACGGTAAAACATCGCTCTGAACTCTCCATGCCACTGGAAGGTGTTTAGGAAATACGCGTGGTCGTCACACATTCCTGCTTGGCCTCACCTTTATTTTCTCGCATATTCAAGGTTGAAATGCTTTATTATTATTTTTTCTTCCCGCATACCAGGTACGGAACCCAGGTGACTGAGAACAGCAGGAAACAGAAATCGTCTATATCGGCTTAGTGTTGCGTTCATTCTGTTTTCCTTGTGTTCTGAACTCTCAGCGGTAAGAGAGCAGGGATTCTTCCAGGATGTGTACGGGCTGGCCGGAGCGTACATCGGAGCGTCTCAACTGGCCCACAGTTCCCTGCACCGCGCGGTGCCCCGTAAAATTAAGAAGAGACCTTTTGGGATTTTTTTTCAAAGGTTTATTATTTTGGGACGGTAGGTAACGCGCTCCACTGTGGCGACGCATGGTCGCTGCCGGAGGCTTCCACGTCACTCGGTCACGTGCCAGAGGTAGAAGTTGGCCGGAGACTTGGTGAAGGGAACCGTCTTTGGGCCGAATGTGTCCACCAAACGCAGCTTCAGACCGTTTCCTTCTGCAACCGACAGGTCAAAAGAGCACGAGATACGCTAACTGGGGGAAAGGAGGAGATGAGAGCGCGCTGCGACGCCAGAGCGCCAAGTTCAGATTGGAGCAATTAGTGGGCAGACGCGAAGGCTAGATGCCTACGTCTCCCCACCCGCTGTATACCTCCTGCGAACAAGAACATAATCTACTCCTCGCACAGGGTTCGGCGTTCGAATCCTTGCGCGTTTCGCGTCCAATGATTTGAAGAGATAAATGCGAAGATGTGACAAAAAAAAATAGACCTCGCTGGATGCACTTACCGTACAGCTTGCGAAGGACTGGCTCCGGCGTGCTCTTGGGGCATTCTGATAAAGTAAAAGAGTGTGTTGTTCGGAAATGAAGGACGAGGCTAATGAAGAGAAATGGGCAATTGACCTCGTAAGTGACGACGTCACAACACGGCGTACCACTCCGAACAAACTGTTGCTAGGACCGTTGTTATGGACAAATACATAGGGGCTCAACGTGAAGTTAGAAATTGTCTGATAAAACGCCTCCCCAGGCTCAGCGGTTCTTTCTGAGGAAATGCACTAGCGCGTTGAATGAGGTTGGTGACGATCGACAAAACCTCTATCCTCGTGGTCAGCTTTCTGTGGGATTTCCGAAGCGAAGAGTGCCCGTGCGCAGCTTTGATTGACGCTCGAGGAGCGCGAGCGCGCAAGCGCATTCCCGTGGATCTCGCTTCCGCAATATCTGAGAAGGCGAACACCCCCCCCCCCCCCCCCCCCACACACACACACACTGTGAAGCCGAATAACTTACGACGATGTGAAGTGGATCAGGGTCGAAGTGCAGGCCAGCACACGGTTCAAGGATTTCTGACAGCAGAGTTGCTTTAGTGTACATACGTGCGATCAAACGAACTGTCCGTAAAATATATATCTTGGCGGACATGCAAACGGATCGACAAGCGTAAAAAGAAAATAAAGATTTAATCGGCGAACTTGTTCCTAGAAACCAAAAGGATGCGCGTCGATGGCGGCAGCAGCGAGACGCGATGCGTCGGCGTGACACCTGGCTGTGAGTCGACAAAACCGCGCTCGATTCCTGATCTACTACACTCGCCATCTCGATCATTCTACCTAAAATGTTCGTTAGTAAGCTAGAGGGAAACTGACTAGGCAAGGTCATTCTTGCCTCCTTATTTTTGACACTCGGGGCAAGAGTAAACTCGAATCTCCTAGGGACAGGGGGAAACGTTCTTTACCAGTCATGCACGCTTGGGATCTTTATTAAAACTAAAAAAAATACTAGAATTATTTTTTCTCAATTTGATGATTACAAGGTAGGTACGAAACACACACCCATATTTCGAGATTAAAAGGCGAAGCTTGAGGCCTGCAACCGCCCATGTTAGGTTAAAAATAACTGCTCTTAATTGCAATGCACGTTAACTGAAAAATCAGAAAGAGTGCCCGACACTGCTTTTATATTATGTACGAAACAGGTGCTTTTCTTGCCGCATTTTTGCAGATCTTTGAATATATTCGGCCAGACAGTATCCCGTAACGCACGGAAATACAATTAATTTTTATAGACCTGATCAGATTTCTTGGGCCTGGCATGTTCCAAATAAATACAAAATGAAAATCGTATAATTGTGCACACGACTCAAACTGTTGCTCACGGCATACTTCCCTCATTCCGTCTGCGTTCGTCATGCGTTCGTCGTCTGCAACTGGCACCTCGAGACGTCTCGAGAACTGGACCCACGACCCGTGACAAATATTAAAGCGATAGCTCTAAAGAGCTCGTGTCTTAGAAAGGCCGGTGTCGGTGTTGATAGCGGACGGGAAAATCCTGATTGATCGCTACGGTCATGACGTCACAGCCATATGATCTCGCACGGGAGTTTCATACAACCCACAACGCTCTCGTGAAACATGACGTCATGCGAGATGTTTACCCAACGTCCCTCCGGACAGCACTGAAGTGATAAAAACTACCACGGGATGGTTGTCAGCCTCAGATTGTAGTCAGTCATGGGTCTTAGGCGGTACTTTTACAACAAAGTTTTCTATTTCGTGACCCAACTTGCCTTTAGAAGGCACTGAAGTGCTGAGAATTACCACAAGATGATTGTCATGCTCCGATTGTAGTCAGTCATTGGTCTTAGACGGTACTTTTACAACAAAGTTTTCTATCTAACCAACTTGCCTTTAGAAGGCACTGAAGTGCTGAGAATTACCACAAGATGATTGTCATGTTCCGATTGTAGTCAGTCATTGGTCTTAGACGGTACTTTTACAACAAAGTTTTCTATCTAGTGACCCAACTTACGAAGTGCTGAGAATTACCACGGGATGGTTGTCATGCTCCGATTGTAGTCAGTCATTGGCCTTAGACGGTACTTTTACAACAAAGTTTTCTATCTGGTGACCCAACTTGCCTGTAGAAGGCACTGAAGTGCTGAGAATTACCACAAGATGATTGTCATGCTCCGATTGTAGTCAGTCATTGGTCTTAGACGGTACTTTTACAACAAAGTTTTCTATCTAGTGACCCAACTTACGAAGTGCTGAGAATTACCACGGGATGGTTGTCATGCTCCGATTGTAGTCAGTCATTGGCCTTAGACGGTACTTTTACAACAAAGTTTTCTATCTGGTGACCCAACTTGCCTTTAGAAGGCACTGAAGTGCTGAGAATTACCACAAGATGATTGTCATGCTCCGATTGTAGTCAGTCATTGGTCTTAGACGGTACTTTTACAACAAAGTTTTCTATCTGGTGACCCAACTTGCCTTTAGAAGGCACTGAAGTGCTGAGAATTACCACGGGATGGTTGTCATCCTCAGATTGTAGTCAGTCATTGGTCTTAGACGGTACTTTTACAACAAAGTTTTCATTCTGGTGACCCAACTTGCCTCCAGACTGCACTGAAGTGCTGAGAACCATTATATGATGGTCATCGACCACAGATTGTAGATTCATTTTTGAAATAAAAAGTGTGATCACTTAAAATTATTCAAAATTATTCACACATGAAAATGTAATCCTAACATGGTGCAAACATATAGATGCTTACGGAACTAGATCATGTTAAAGTTACTGAAAAGACAGGTTACTTCAATTCATATTACGGATGCAACACTGACATTAAGCACATTAAGTTTCCCTAGGTAATATCTCACTGTGCTTAGGCGTTTCTGATATCTGGTGGCTTAGCCTGAATTGCCCTTTCCCGTAATGAAAATATACTGAATTTGTACGAGCTGCATTCTGTGCAAGACTTGCTACTCACGGTAAAAATCAGGTGAACAAAGCTTAGAGACCGCTAACCTGGGCCGTTGAAAAATAAATTCATGAAGCTATTCAACGATAGCTGTTAAACAAAACTGTGTTGAAGAAAGTGTTGGGGGGTTGTTAGCTTATATTTCAATCTATTCGGTGACTATGACTGACCAAGCACTATGTTGTAAGCGAGACCTTCAGTGTTATCTAGAAAATAGCCTGATAAGTAGAATTTCAATTGTGTAGTTCGTATCACTCACTTCAAGAGTGTGCAATAAGACAAACCATCAAATGAAGCTTATATAATTGTTTATATAGGTGTCTGTAACTTTTATGGACAATCAAATCTCTTTAATTACATATACACTAGATATGTACATATTTCCATAGTTCAACAAATGTGTTTTTTATTAAATGGTAACTTGAGTTAGTTGGTAATTCACAAATAAAGACAAAAGTGAGAAAGACAAATATAAAAATAAAAAACACAGAATGAAGCTTTCATTAAAGGGCGATCCTTTATGTATAAAGCCATAAGAATAAGCAACAACAAGAACTTTATTCCGACTAGTTCAAGCCACCTTTTGACATGACATATATTGGAGAGTTTCAAGTTCATAATCCAAGAGCTTCAGTGACCGAGAAAGCTCAAAATTTTCCCGATTGTGAATGTTTTAGCTTGTTTCGTGTACGCCAACAGCCTAGCTACCGCCTCTCACCCTTTTGCAATTCGCAATAAATGCAGTCAAGGTCACAAAGAAGTTACAGGGAAAGTCTTGTGTAATTTGTCTTGTGTATTCTTCGATTATACCCTAACCAAACAACTCGGGTTTGAGTTATTGGTTCTGGGATCCCAAGGCTGCTCAAACCGCTCACCGTGGTTGCCGTTTTCAGGATATCGGCGTACTGAGGCATTTATAAAGTTGACAAGTAATCTGTGCCTGCGGCGGGACACATCGAGTAAAAAATTCACTTTTTGTTTTTTTGTGAACTCGACAGTGAAACTGAAGTCTGTTTGAGGCTGCAGCGGATGTTCAACGACGGTACAGTGCCGTTCTGTCACCTTTCTGATAGAAACGAGTACGGTCGTTGCAAGGGCCTCGCGACGATCTCTTGACGACTTCTATTCGACGATTTCTAGGCATTTTCGCAGCTGCCGTGGCGAGTTCGTCACTGTTTTGAACTTCATCGGTCTCAGACATGACTTGATTTTAGTACTCATCTACCTGCCAACTTATTCTCGACGATGTTTTGTCTTCAGCGATGTAGCGAGTGGAGCGTCCTTCTCGCGTTCAGTGAGATTTGGGGCCTCCGATCAAAATGTGAGCACGAAAACTACTGTTACTGTCAAGATATTTTGTTATCAACCGATATTAAACACACAATCACAGATGTAAAGAGCATACGTGTTTATTTAAAGCTCTGACTCTTGTTTTTGAAAGTTAAGCGAGAAAATGATTAAATTTGGAGACCTTAAATTCGTTACTCACCGAAGAAATACAGCGAAAAGCAGACGCCTACAACACCTACAGCAGCAGTTCTATTGTTTACATCACGTGATTCCTCTCCGCCAATCGTATTCGTCCCTCTGAGCGTTCCCTAGTTCGCTTTGTTTGTCCCTACATTCCCTAGGCAAATCCAGCGTTTAGCTAGGGGCGCGTCTGTAAAGCCGGCTTAGCGTTGGTGCAACCGGAATTGAAACCCGGGCTTACCTGAGCTCGGTTTAAGGCGCTAAGCCGGCTTAGGAAAGTGCCGCTTTGGATTAAGGTAAGCGGCGTTGGTGCAACCGGCCCTTAGAGGCTTATATTACTTTCTCCTGATTTTTGGCTAATGATTAAACTTCTCGCATTTCTGACAGCTTCTCAAAAGCCGTCAGCCACTCCGCTTCAGGATAGAGTTTCCGGTACACAGCTGTTAGCATACGTACGTTTTCAATAAAGTAACTGCGCAATGAGCGAATGTTTTAGTGTGCGTGACGTACCACCATCCTGCTGCTCCAGATGGCATGCAGACCTAACAACAGGACCAGGTCATACGGGAAATAACCATCCTCCACTGATAGATACCGGAT